CACTTCCCCTGCCTCCCTTTGCATCTTTTCCAATTATAAGATACCATGGTTGTATATAGTAACATTACAATATTTTTTATCTTATCTATTCCTTTTCTAACGGGTCCTAACATTCTGTTTGCTTTTTCGACCGTCTCTGCACATTGAGTGGTTGTTTTCCAAGAACTAGCCACAAGGACTCCAAGATCTTTCTTGAGTGCAAACAGCTAATCTAGACCCCATTATTTTGTATGCATAGTTAGAATTATGTGTTTCAATCTGTATTACTTTGCACTTATCAACCCTTAATTTCATCTGCCACTTTGTGGCCCAGACATTCAGTTTTGTGAGATCTTTCTTGCAAAGCTTTGTACTTAACTATCTGGAGTAATTTTGTATTATCTGCAAATGTTATCACTTCATTATTCACCACCTTTTCCAGGTCACTTATAAATCTGTTGAACAGCACTGATGCAGGAACAGATGTATGATGGACCCCCTGTGAAAACAGACTATTTATTCCTTCCTTATCTTTTAATCAGTTACTGATCCATGAGAGGACCTTCCCTCTTATCCCATGACAGCTTACCTGAAGAGCCTTTGAAAGGGATCTTGTTAGGGATGTAAGCGACTAGTTGACTAGCTGATAAGCAAATGACTAGTCACTTCCCTCCCCCCCCCCCCCCCCTCCCGGCGAGGAGCATGAGCCAGTGGCTCTTGTACATTTCAAAGGGAGAGGCACAGTGGGATAACGAGCACCCCCCCTTATCGACTAATCGAGTAGTCGATGGAAATTCTATAGACTACTTGATTAGCTGATTAATCTAAATTTAACATTCCTAGATCTTTCCACATGTTCGTTGAGCCTCTTAAAGAATGCGAATGGACGATGATTTCTCTTTACAAAAGCCGGTTCTTCCCCAACAAATCGTTCTTAAACCTCCTGTAATGACTCCCTCAACCTGGGGCAGTTCCTCACTTTGTCACCTAAAGGAAATGGCACAGGTGTGAGAATCCTCCTCACATCCTCTATAGTGAAGGCCGATGCAGATAATTCATTTAGCTTCTCTGCAACAGCCTTATCTTCCTTGAGTGCTTCTTTAGGACCTTGACCGTCCAGCGCCCCCACTAACCTTCCTGCTTCTGATGTACTTAAATTATTTCCTGCTGTTAATTTTTGTGTCCTTTCCTAGGTGCGCCTCAGATTCTTTCTTGGCCAGTCTTAGTATGCGTTTACATGCCTGACTTTATGCTCCTTTCTATTTTCCTCAGTAGGGTTTGATTTCCATTTTTTAATGGCTGCGTTTTTGCTTTTAATTGCCTCTTTTACTCTGCTGGTTAGCCAGCATGGCATTTTTTGGCCCACTGACTATTGTTTCTTTTTAATTTGGAGTATATATTTAGTTTGAGCCTCCACTATTATGGTGTTTTTAAATAGTTTCCATGCAGTTTGCAGGCATCTCACCCTTGTGATTGTTCCTTTTCATTTTAATTTGCATTTAATTACCTTCCTCTTTGCTGTGTAGAGTTCCCTCTTTGAAGTTAAATGCTAATGTGGTGGGTTTTTTTGACATTTCCCCCCTACGAGGATGTTAAATTTATTTAATTACATGATGGTCGCTACTACGGAGAGACTTGGCTAAATTCACCTCTCTGACCAGATTTTTTCCTCCACGTAGGACTAAATCAAGACTTGCCTACTCCCTTGTGGGTTCCAGCACATGCTGCAAAAAGTGGGGCAGAGGTATAGAGTAAGCTGTGGGTCTGCCTGTGGATGGGTCTGGCGTGGCACCAGGAGGGGTCGCCCTTCCTCCCGTATTCAGTGGGCAGATGGGAGCTGGAGTGGCCCGGGTGCCTGGCCTGCCACACTGCCCCCAATTCCACTGCACTCAGCTTCTCAGTCACTCTGCTGCCACCACTGTGGTGAATACGGGAGGAGGGGGAGACCCTTGCTGCTGCCCTGCACCCAGCTCCAGGTAATCCCCTAGCTCGGGGGAGGGGGAAGTGGAAGGAGCAGGGGCAGGAAGGGGTGTGATGGGAGTGGAGCAGGAGAGGGGTGGGGATGGAGCAGAGGCAGGGCCTGCAGGGAGTGTTTCCCCAGGCTCTGCACCTGGGGCACTGTGGGGGGTTGTCCCAGGCCATATCCCCGCCCCCCCTCGAGGCCCTGGTGACAAACAGGAGGGTGAATGATCACAGATGGCCAAAGAGGTAAAAATTGGTTAAAGAATTGATACGACAGTGCCACTCCTAAAACTGCATATCATGTCCCGTCCCTCTACCCAGCAATGTCCGTCCCAGAGATCACTTCTTGCCACCTGGAGACGGCTATCCAGAGATCACATCCCAATCCATCACCCCACAAGGCCAGTCCTTCCCTGCCACCAGTGTGCCCTGTAAGCGGAGCGCTTGTGCAGCCACTCAGGAGAGATTCAAATGCTGCCCAGCTGATCAGCCGAGTGCCCACAGCTAGGTGTGTGTTTCTACTGGTGGTGCACATTCATACGTGCCTTGCTGCACATTGAAAAAAATATTCCGCACATGGATGGAAAAGATTAGAGGGAACATTGCCGTCCACCCCAGAAGCCACGGGCAGAGAGCATATCCTCTTGTACCATCCCAGAGAACATCTCTCATCCCACAGATCTGGCCCCCTCCCAATATTGTGAACCCAGAGACTATGGCTTGTGTCACCAACCCGCCGGTTACAACCTTGGAACCCCACCATCCTGGAGATGAGATCTTCTGCTTTGGTGGCATTATTGCACTGATTCCCCTAGTCCAAAGGGGCACATCTGAAACCTTTTCAGGGAGGTCTGAATTCAGCAATGAAAAGCAAGCGGCCCTGGTGATTTTTTCGCTGGAATTGAACTGAAACGTCACTGAAAATAAAAACCAGGACTATGTAGCACTTTAAAGACTAACAAGGTGGTTTATTAGGTGATGAGCTTTTGTGGGCCAGACCCGCTTCCTCAGATCAAAGAGTGGAAGAAAATTGGCACAACCATATATACCAAAGGATACCATCAAAAAAATGAACACATATGAAAAGGACAAATCAAATTTCAGAACAGCCTGGGAGTGGTTGCCTTTGGATTCTGGCCTCTCTTAGACCCAGGCTAGCAGAACAAGCGGTGTTGAGGAAAGGTGAAATGCTGGCTGTTTTGCAATGATGCATCGCCCAGTCTCACATTACCTTTGTGTTTCTCGCTTCTCCTCCCAGCTCACTGTCTACCTCGGGAAGAGGGACTTTGTCGACCACATAGATGTCGTGGACCCTGTTGGTAAGTCAGCTTTCAGTTGGGTTGGGTTTGGTGCGGCAGCCCCCCGGGAACTCGGTTGACTTCACAGGGCAGAAATGATGTTACTAGAAATCGCTGCAAGAAGGTACTTTTGCTTTGTATTCTCTCCAAGGACAGCATGTCCAGAACGTTGTTCTTTCCTATCAGGTTTGCTGTATGTTCCAATTAGACATCAGATTTAGAGGTTTTCCACAAGAGCAAGTTCCCTCTGCTGCTAATGGGGTTTGTTCCACTGCCAATTTCCACCATGAGCATAGAATGTTCCCTCCTCTGAACAGCGAGATGGCTGGAGTCTATGTGCCTGAGATCTAGTGTTATTGTTACCGTAGCACCCGGGGGCTCGGTGTAATGGCCCCCAGGATGCTGTGCGAACACATGGCAGAAGACAGCTCATGCATCAGAGAGCTCACGTTATTATGTGAAGGCCAGATGCAAGTGAGCGTAGTTCCTGGAAGGAGGATGAAGGTGAGTTTAATAAGAACATGCATTTGCTCAACCTGGCATGCTGTCAGGTCAATTAAGTACTATTATTAAACATGGATGGCGACAAATAATAAGACCCAGGTAAACCAATGAGGTAGAGAGGAGCAATCTCAGCAGGTTGGAGGCTTCATCAAGGGGGTCTTTAGCGGGGTTTGGAAGGAGGCAGGTTTACGGACTAGTTGGAGCCATACTGATGCAGCCCCTTGTAGTGTCAGCATAAATTGCGACGTGCAGCTCATGGTGCAAGGCATCAGTGGACTGGGTTTGCACCGCTGTGGCTGCGTGGTTGTGGGCTCTCAGGCAGGCAGGTGCCTGCTGCACACTGGCCCTCGCTAGCCAGTCCTGCTCTGGCTTAGCAAAGTTAGGAGCAAAACTCCCCGTGACTGCAGGGTCTGCAGGATGGGGCCATCAGTCGGGGCTGACCTGTGCGTCTGGTCCAAGCTTGGCATGCAGAGACACCCTGCTTTGGAGACTTTTTCCCTTTGAACACCCTGCCAGCAGCGCCAGCTCTGGGAGGAGGGTTATTTTTATGTCAGGAATGAGATTCCAAAAACGGAGGCTGATTGAATAGGTGGAGTTGTGGCTGGGCAACCCCGGCAGCCTCATATCCCCTTAGGAAAGCAACAGCAAGCTCGGCCCGTTTGGAGCCCAGCAATTGTGATCAGAATCCCCAGGAGGGTGTGTGGTGTGTGCCGCTCGCATGTGTGCAGCGCACTGTCGGGATTACCCCCCAGCCTATAGCCCGCTGGGCTGAAGTGAACCGCTGGGGTGTAATCCCTGTCTGCTGGGGTGTAAACCCAACAGTGTGCCGCAGGCTCATGAGCTGCACATGTGATAGGACCCTGATTTGTAATGAGACGACCCCAGTGACTTTAAAATCTATCCAGGCTCCAGCATTGCTATCCTTCATTTCACAGCTTGGGAACTGCGCTCAGAGCGATCCAGGGACTCGCCCCAGGTCAGACAGGGAGTTTCTGTCACTTGGGAATTGTACTCGCCTCTGTGGGCTGCAAGGCCAGCCCTCCTACTCCTGTCCTTGGGGAACGTTTTCAGAAGTGCCTGTGTCTTTTGAAAATGGGACCTAAACCACTTCGTCACGTTTGAAAAAATTCCCCATGGTGCTGCTCTCTCTCACCTTTCTCTCCTTGGGTCTGATCCAAAATCCACTGATGCCCCTGAGAGCCCTTCCACTCACTTCCCTGGGCTTTGGGTCTTGCTGTCTGCAAGGCCATGCCTACACTGGGAAGGTTTGGTAACAAAAGCGCCGTCGACATGCAAAAGTCGCCAAAGTAAAAACTGGTCAAACCATTTTTTCTGCCTCCCATTGAGGACATTTCATGGATTCCCTCATAACTATGTGAGCTCTCTGCTGAGGAATGTCAATGCAACATCGCAGTCTCTCCAGCCCTCCCCCTGCAGCAGCAGTCTCCCTGCCATTGTGTTTTTAGTGCAGGGCAGAACAGGAGCATTCCAATGATATGGTTTTTGTTTGTTCCCCAAACAGAGCAGCTCACTCAGCTGTCAGATACTCCCCAGAGCTTTGAAAGAGGAGAGGTGGATGCCTGCAGGGCAGCAGAGATCACAAAACACAGAGCAGAGCCATCAGGGAAGGCCTTGTGGGATACTGGCAGAAGCCAGTTCTCTCAACAAAACAAACAGCAGAGTCCACACTGGCTCTTTGGCAACAATAAAGGGAGGGGAAAAGTCAAAGGTCTCTTGCAGGGTTGGATGCTTTTGGTCATCAAAACTGGGTCTTTTTCCCGACAAAAGTCACGTTGCAGTGTAAACGCTCTCACTGTTTTGTTGCCAAAGGGCAGTTTTTGGTGACAAAACATGCCAGTAGACAAGGCCTACGAGTACTAATAAGGGAGGAGTGGCTTACATGGGATTGCAAATCCAGCCCAGTTCAGCAGTAACCAAAAAACTGTCTGACGGCAACTAAGAACATAAGAATGGCCATATTGAGTCAGACCAAAGATCCATCTAATCTTCCACTGCTGGCCAGTGCCACGTGCATGAGTGGGTATTAACAGAACAGCTAATCATCAAGTGATCCATTCCCTGTTGCCTGCTCCCAGCTTCTGTCAAAGAGATGCTAGGGACACCATCCTTGACCACCTTGGGCAATAGCTATTAGTGAGCAATTGCCATTATCCTCCATGAATGTAACTAGCTGTTGTTTGAACCCTGTTATAGTTTTGGCCTTCACACCATCCTCCGGCAAGGAGTTCCACAGGTTAACCATGTAATGTTACATTTCCATGCCAGAAGAATTTTGCCTCACAAAATCAAGCTCGCAATGGTGCAAGATGGGGTGAGACTGAACTAGAGCAACCCTCAAGGGAATATTTCCATCAAGGAAATAATAAGCCACAGTTTGGAATTGGCCTCCATCTTGAACTTAGGCTGGTCTGAGCTCCATCTCCCCTGTCTATGTGAGGCAACACAGATTGGAGTTTGCTATGTAATATGGAGGCCAAAAGGACCAGCAATGTGACTTAGTGCTGACTAGGCAGAGAGCAGGGGGCAGTGGTCACTTGCTATGTTAGGGGGACCAGATAGCAAGTGTGAGAAACTGGGACCAGAGGTAGGAGGCAATAGCAAAGCACTTAGACACTCTGCTGGAAATAAATGGGACTTAAGCACTTGCTGAAAGTTAGGCACATGCTTAAGTGGGTTGCTGCAGATGAGCTTTAGATAGGGAAGACTGGGGCTGAATCTCTGGCAAAACCTTTGTGTGAGGCTCCTCGCCGCCCCACGCCCTTAGCGTAAAGGTGTCATTCCTGTGTCTGTGGGCCGGCTCCCGGAAATCACCAGCACAAGTCCTGCCAGCCCTCCTGCAGGCCTCGCCCTCTCTGAACCCGGTAGTGAATGGCACACGCCAACTCCCGTGGTCCTTCCCCGCAGTGCCCAGCCCCTTCTCCCTGCACGCTCGCAGATCCACCTGGCCAGCTGTTCCCAAAAGATCAGGACATACCAGCATGTAAGTTCCAAGATGGGACCAGTATTTTGCTCCACATCGCAGCCTTGAGCTAGCTGTGGAATGGAAAGAAGTTTATTGTCAAAAATTAGAGATTCAGGAGCTAGTGAGTGAGGATGTTGAAAAGAAATAATTACACCCAAGGGTGCCGACAGCATGTGCGGGTCCCTAGGCAAAGTGGGGGAGGGGCTGGCTCTGTGCTCGCGGAAGGGGTGGAGCCTTAAGCAGAAGGGGCGGAGCCAGGGACAGCCAGCGCTCTGCACTGCTCGGAGTTCTGCACCCCTCCCCACAAGCCCTCAGAGCCGCCTGGAGTGTGTGACACGGAGCTCCAGCAGTGATTTAAATGGCTCGGGGCTCCGGCTACCATCACAGCTGCAGTAGCAGTGGTGGCAGTCAGGAATTCTAGGGCCCTTTTGATTCTCTAGGCCCTGGGGCAAATGCTCCCTTAGACCCCCTCCATGGGCAGGCCTGGGTACAACTCAGACAAAAGCATGACACGCTTTTTAGAGACGTTTATCTAACAGAGTGCCCTCCTGTCACCACTAGCGCCTCCTAAGTCCTCTTCAGCATTTTCAACCAAGGCTGGCTGAGACCCTGCTGTCATGAATGCAAATGCGCTGTGCATTTCTGTCCTACAGGCTGGATGAAGGTGCGTCATCTCAGCCTTCTAGAAATACTCCCAGCATTCATTGTTTTTACTCAGACATAGGATAGCCTCCCACAGCTGGAGTTTTTTCTGTGTGCTCCTTCCCCGTGGACTTCACATCTCTTTGTTAACATTTGACTTTGTATCTAAAATGGCTTCCATTAAAAATAATAAGCATACTATGCTTATTTTACATCCCAATCAAGAGAGAGATTTCTTGCCTCCTCGCTGGAGGTAAACCTCTTTTTTCCCTTCTGCTGGTGTCTTAGATACAGACTTTAAACATGTGTTTTCAGTATATATGCACATAGCTCTTTGCATGTATCTTTCAGAGTCAAGTTACACAGCTTGCCTTGAAAAATTCCTCATCCCATCACCAATACCTGGAAACGTGTATCAGAGTCAATTTCTAATTACTGTTTTTATTTCTATTATGCACTTAGCCTCCCTGGACTAATTACACAGAGTAGCAGAGAACATTGCTTTTCCATTTTCTCCCCTCTTGCGCATGGTGGCTTTTAAAAATATTTAATTACAGTCTTGCCTTTGATTACTTTAGCTAGGGGAGGGGAGACACCCTTTTCACATTGCTAATTTCTCTTCCTGGGGAATTCGTAAACCTGACTCATCCACACGTCCAATCTCTTTTACAATTTAGCTTTTGCTGATACAGATTCTTCTGATTTGTTTTCATGTAGCTGCCCCCTGCCCTTTCCCCAACAAACTAATTAATTTCAGCACATGGCTGCACCTTATTAGTCCCTGAGTGGAGTGCAGGGTCTTTGCAGACTGACACATTTGCTTGCTTTATTCATGTGCATTGCAATATGTTCCTAGAGTGGGCAGGGATTTGGTGATAGCCCAGAAGTACCAGTCTCCATGCCAACCTTAGTTATCTTTCACCCCAGCTCCTGCCAGCACCTCCTGCAACTCACCTCTTCCTCCCTGTAGCATGGGCCCTAAGCACAGTGTCCTGTCTCTGCCTTCATCCCCAGAGGAGGTTGTTGAGAGTGAGTGAAAGAAGGAAAGTGTCACATATTTGCAGAGGAGATAAAGCAGTGTTTGTGTGCAACATGTTAACCTGTGGAACCTGCTGCTGCAGACTACCACTGAGACAATTGTCAGAGCCAAACAACCTGCATGAGTCCTGGGTTCTCTAGTCTGGCAGAGAAGATGTGAACATTTAACTGTGATTAACCCCTGGAACAAATTCCCATAGGAAGGGGTTGTTTCTTGATGCCTTCAGATCCAGACTGGCTGCTGTCGGGGAGATGCTTTAGTGCAGCCCAAGTGGCTCGGTCAAGGCAGAGGTAACTGGGTGACATTCTCCGGCCTGTGATCTGCAGGAGGTCAGATGAGACGATCGAATGAATGGTTCCTCTAGTCTTGGAATCGATGGATGACGAATTGATGGAGTTACGAGTTAGCCAGGATCAAAATGAGGAGGGCACAGCTGCATCAGGTGCTAGGGTCGGGGAGAAACCCTTCCCACTGCACCTGCATGGTGTTGTATAGCTAGTGCATACAAGGCTTATTAGGCTATGTCTACTCTACAGCCGTTTTTGCTCAAAAACCCGCAGAGCATCCATACCTCAAGCGCATTTTTGTGCAAGAAAATGGAAAGTCATTCGACAGATCAGAGGGCTTTTTGCAGTGTAGGTGTACCTTCTTCTACGAGGCATAACTCCTTTTTGCACAAGAGTTCTTGTGCAAAAAGGTGTGTGTGGACGCTCAACAGGGGTTTCTTGCACAAAAAGAGCCTATCACAAAAAGCACAGGTGCACTGATGGCCATTCTGTGAATGGCCATCAGAACTTCCTTGTGCAAGAGCATCCATGCAGTGTGCTTTTGAGGTGTGGATGCGCTTTTGCGCAAGACGTTTTTGCAGAAGATCTCTTCCACAAAAAGCTTCTTGCACAAAAAAACGGCAGTGTAGGCTAAGCCTTATTGTCTAAAGGCCTGATTCAAAGCCAGTGGAGGCTTGCAGCAGTGTTTCCTCCTTTTAGATCAGGTCCCGGGAGGGGATGCCAGGCATGGGTGGGCTCTTGTTCTGTGATGGCTAAGCCTTTCCATGCCCTGCGTTCTCCAGAGCTTTGAGGGCACTTAGCTCAGCTCTGCTGCTGGGAGGTGAGCAGTAGTCCGGTGAACGGGCTCAGTTGGTTCGTTTTGCAACGGGACTTGATTTTCACAACTGGTGATTTCTCTTTGGTCCAAGCATGTATGCTCCGGACACAAAGCGTGAGAGACACAACATTTATGGTTGCCACCTGGCTTCCGAATTCCCAGCTGCTGAGAGAAGCCTTTTCTGCACTCCACAAGCCACTTTGGCCCAGGTCCTTAAGACATTTAGGCACCTCCCTGCAACGGAGAGGAGGATCCGAGCCTTCCTGCTTAGTCCTGATGTACCTCACTGTTCAGTGTGTATTCCCCGTCCCTTTGTGGCTTGGTTCACAAAAGGTGTGATCTGCTGCCAGTCCCTCCTAAGCGCTTGCGATCCTTTGGCTCAAGCATTAGCCCTTCATGGTTCTTACTTAGGAGGACCCAAGTTCAGTCCTTCTCCATGTCTGGTGCAAGCTCTTTGGTTTCCACGGTAACCTGGGCCTGCTTCAGAGTCCCGAGGCTTGGCCTGGTGTGTGTGTCACCATCAGTAAATTTAGTGAGAGAAAGCAGAGGAGGGAGCTCACGAGGGTCCTGTAGAGGGAGATTTTCCTTGAAAGGAGGATGGGCATGTAAATCGTGGTGGCACTGTCATAGCCTGTCCTGCCCGTTGGTCCCAGGAGCTGCTGAGTGGGATAGTGGAGGTCAGGACTGAACTTGGGTCCTCCTAAGTAAGAACCATGAAGGGCTAATGCGTGAGCCAAAGGATCGTAAGCTCTTAGGAGGGACTGGCAGCAGATCACACCTTTTGTGAGCCAAGCCTCAAAGGGGATGGGGAATACACACTGAACAGTGGGGTACATCAGGCATAGCCCTTGCAAGCTCAAGAGAAGCTGCCCTGGTACAATTCATGATGGGAGCTGACTGTAGAGAACAGCCCTCCCTCCACCATTGGCATGTGGCCACCAGTCCATGTTCCAGAGAAACGTGCTCAAATCTACACCCCAGGAATAGGTGGGTTGTGGCCTCTCAATGCACCCACCAGTGTGGGGCGTCCTAAGCTCCTTGCTTCTAATCCCAGCTGAGATGTGAGATCTCTGGCAAGCCACTGCGGCCTGGTTCCTACAAGTGCTTAGGCTCCTAACTCTCAAAGAACTCACTGGGAGTTAGGTAATCAAATTCTGCTGAAGATCTGGGGCTTCTGTCGCTCCATGCCTCAGTTTCCCAATCTGCAATGTGAGGATGATGCCACTCATTCACACAGGCTGTGGTGGGGTGGAGAGAGGGGAATGAAAGCTGGATCAGACCATAGGCCCAATGCAAGTGAGGGAGAAGTGACAGCCTGATGGAGGGGGTGAGAGGCAGGTAGGAAACAGGCAGAGCTGTCGTTTCACAATCTGTAGGACGGTTTGTTGTGGGACATCAGGGTTCTCCCCCGTCCCAGTTCAAGGGAGACCAGTTCGTGTTCTGAGTTTCCCTCCTAATTCTGCCTGTTTTCTCTTTCAGATGGCGTTGTGTTGGTCGATCCAGAGTACTTAAAAGAAAGGAAAGGTAACTGCTTAGCCTTTTGTTTTCAGATGACTCTAGGGTGTTTAACTGGGGTTCAGAACCCCCCGGTCAGGAGAGTTGCCTCTCCCCTATTCTGCGGTCACACCTCCAGTGCCGCAGGGATCTCTTAATGCATCTTTCCAGCCCCCTTCTCCAAGCCTGTCACTGAAAACATGCTTGCTTTAAATGGCAACAAAAAGCACAGACACGGCTCCTAAATGTAGCTGGAGGTGTAGGTAGGTCAGTTGCCTGCTGTGCCAAAGTGGGGACCAGCATGAAAGCAAGGAGCACACCTGGCGTTCATGGCACATTCGGGAGTAGCAGAGTGTTCAGCACCTCCACCTTCTCTCCACCCTCTCTCTCCGGGGTCTTCTCCCCTCAGTGGTGTCCTCTTGTGGCTGGGTCAGTCACTCCAACTCCATTACTAACCACCCCTAGACTGGGGGCAAGGCTAATGTAGCTGTTTGGTCACAGAAGAAACTTGCATGCAAGGACCTGCCAGCCTGCAACAGGGTGTCACAGATTGGCTGGCCCTTTAAGGGTAGTTTGCTGCAGGCCTACCTGTACCAGATTGGCACCCCCTCTCCCTTGAGCTGGGTGATTTCTTTCAAAGGGCTGGAAAAGCTCAGTATAGTGCAGGAAATGCAGGCAGCAAGTCCAGGGAAGCAGCCGGGAAGCAGTGCGCTCTCCCAGAGCACAGAAATGTAAAGGTGACTCAGAAGGAGTTGGGAGCCAAGCCCGGAGGGAGGGCTGAAGAACCTAAGTGGCTTAAAAAGGACTTCTTGTTTGTTTGGAAAAGGGAGCTGGACTTGGAGAGCTGAACCCCTCCCCCCCAAGAGAGATAGGAAGCCCTTTGGAGAAGGAAACTGAGGCAGGAAGTGCCTGCAGCACCTCATTCGGCCAGCAGGGATGCTACAGATCAAGGGAGGGTGTTTCCTTGTAATTTTACATGTCTTCTTCGATGGCAAGTGCTCAGCAGCAGGGACTGGCTCTCGCTACCTGCCTGTAGTCCCTAGCGCTATTTTGCTCTAGTCAGGTCTTTCATGTGCACCCAGCACCACTGTATCGGAGCCCAGTGACTCGCACCTGTGGCTTGATCTCCCTTTGGTTTCCCAGATAGTGCCGTGTCCTTTGGGGCTGTGTTGTATGGAAGCTGTGCTCTGGGCTTGCCAAGCCAGGCCAACACCGTACCAGTCCCTAGGCAGGATTCTCAGAAATACTAATGGTGCTGTAATAGATCGACACAGATAGCGACAGTCCCTGCTCTGCTAGCAGTGAGAGGGGTCTAAGGTACAAGCCAATGAGCCAGGCGATGCTGGCCCAGCTTTGCGAGTGACACATTTGCCTGGGAAAGAAATGGGTCTCAAATCAGCTGTAAAACAATTTGGAAGAGGGGGTGAAGTCATTCAGAACCTTCCTGCCCACCTCCCGACACCCACACTCCGGAGTGGAACATGGCAGCCGTGGGAGGTTGATATTTAGGCCTTGGGACCATGCGGCAGGTGGCAGGGTTGGGGAGAGTGGAGGCAGCTGCTCAGATGCTGGAGCTCGGTGGCTGGGTCCCATCTGCCTTGTCTCAGTCATTGCTCTGGCGTGTTTGGTTTGATTGTCTCGTTTTCTGGTGGGGGCTATGAAAAATCCAAGGTGATGGATGGAAATGCCCCTCGACTCGTGTAATTAAATCCAAGCTCCCACCCTTGTGTCTCGACTGCCAACTCTGTCCCTTCTCCCCCCCCACCAGAATGGCAGCACATCCTGCATCCAAATCTTTCATCAAAGCTACCAAAATGTGTGATGCTAGCGGCTGCCTGCAGCTTCGAGCCTCCTTTCTTGCACCAGTGTAAATCAGGAGGGCCTTCTTCATGGGCCAACTCTTGCGGCCTAGGAGGCAGGAGATCTAGGCTCAAATCCCAGTTGTTCCTCTGGGAAGACCACTCGGTTTCCTGCCGTGGATGTTACTGCTGAGGGGATTGTTGGTGATCTCTCCATTTGATGCAATGCATTCTGTCCCTGGCAGTCTTCGTCACGCTGACATGTGCCTTCCGCTACGGCCGCGAGGATTTGGACGTGCTGGGACTGACCTTTCGGAAGGACCTTTTTGTGGCCAACATCCAGGCCTTTCCCCCAGTCCCCGAGGAGAAGAAACCCCTGACACGACTCCAGGAGCGGCTGATTAAGAAGCTCGGCGAGCATGCCTATCCCTTCACGTTTGAGGTAGGAGTTTCTCCCGTGGCTCTCTCATTAGTCCCCCGTTGGCTCTCATGCTCCTTGCTCCCCAAGAAAGGTAGGGCTGGGTCAGAGGAGAATGTGGATGAGGTGTCGCCATGGAAACCCCAGATCACAGCAGGAAGTGGTACTGACAAAACAGCAGATGGCACTTCACCATCTGCGCTGGGGAAAAAATGGGACTAAAAGTATCGCTTGCAATGTGCTCGGAGCTGCACTTATATGGAGACGGTGCAAGCTACAACCCAAAGGGCCTGATCCAACAACTATTGTCCATTCAGAGGTGCCCACACAGTCTAAGAAATCATGAGTGGTGTGGAGAGGGCCGATAAAGAAAAGTTATTTATTAGTTCCCTAAGTAGAAGAACTAGAGGACACCAAATGAAATTAATGGGTAGCAGGTTTAAATCTAATAAAAGAAAGTTCTTCTTCACACAGCGTGTAGTCAACCTGTGGAACTCCTTGCCAGAGGAGGTTGTGAAGGCTAGGACTATAATAGAGTTTAAAGAGAAGCTAGATAATTTCCTGGAGGTTAGATCCATAAAAGGCTATTAGCCAGGGGATAAAATGGTGTCCTTGGCCTCTGTTTGTCAGAGGCTGAAGAGGGATGGCAGGAGACAAATTGCTTGATCATTGTCTTCGGTCCACCCTCTCTGGGGCACCTGGTGCTGGCCACTGTCGGCAGACAGGCTACTGGGCTAGATGGACCTTTGGTCTGACCCAGTACGACCGTTCTTATGTTCTTATGTTAAGAACAACAGCTGTATGGAGGCCATACAGTTCTCTGGCCGGACATAGACCAGACCAGATAATCACACTGGTCCCTGGATTCTGAATCTGTATTTATATTTTGGACCTTACATTCTCCCAGTGGTTTTAGCTGGATACAGGCTTCCTTTTCACGCCCTGTCCCACACTGCTGGGCGGGGTTGTTGTATGCTGTTTTAAGGCTGCTGCTTCCCACCCCTCAGGTGCCTGCATTTTGATGACCGGTAAAGTGATCACTTGATGATACCGAGTTTTTAATCTAAGTCTGTGGAATGCTTGGCCCAGAGCCACTATCTAAATGCCCTTTGTTGTTATCAGCTCAGCCCTTTCAAACAGCTCCTCCGCGTCCTGTTTTAATTGCTCTGGAAATGAGCTCCCACTGATGTCTGGAGTGCAAAAAGCAGCAGCCAAAAATGGATTGCTGAGGGGAGGGGATTTTGTATAAAACCTACAGAAGCAAAGAGGCCTGTCCTGCGACTTCCTGGACTGATTAAATAGTCATCAAATGCAAGAAATAGATCCAGTTATAACAGAGTGGTGTAACAGCTGCTCCTGGTGCAGCCTCTGCCTCCCCCATCCTAAGCAGGCAATTTGCTGTAGATGATAGGGAGCATCAAGATCTGTCTCTCTTCCTAACTCTGACCTGCTGGAGGACGATGGGCATGGCAAGTCCCTGCTCGGTGCCTCGGTTTCCCCTCACATCCTTTGCCTGTTTAGACTGTCAGCTCTTTGGGGCAGGGTGTGTCTCTCCAGGGGATAAGAAGGCTGTGTGTGTATGGAGGAGAGTACTAAATGCTACACAGCGTAACAGCCGGTGGAATTAGAGAGAATACACTGCTTCGATACCACGGTGATACAAATTGCATACACATCTATCGCTGGACAGAGAAAGGCCTTGTTCTAGCGCCAAGGAGACCGAGTCATGACTCAGGACCCCATAGTGCCAGGCACTCTCCAACCCGAGAGCAAGCTGATCTCTGCCCCGAACAGTTTACCGTCTATGGCTACATCTACACTAGCATGAATTTCCGAAAATGCTTTTAACGGAAAAGTTTTCCGTTAAAAGCATTTTCGGAAAAGCGCGTCTAGATTGGCAGGATGCTTTTCCGCAAAAGCACTTTTTGCAGAAAAGTG